GCAAGAATTAATATCAGAGGAAGACAACAAGGGACAAATATGGCCGTAATGTGGATATCAGGAGAAGTCCAAGGCACTGAAAGATAGGAGACTGTATCTGTGAAGAGCAGAGGAAGGTATGATAGGAGAACAGAACGTGGAGGCTCCGGTGCACATGTTACAAGGAGGAACACGAACTTTGTCTGATGACGAGAAAGCAGAATCACATCGTGCATGAAATTTGGAAGGAGGACCTGTGATATTCACGCAACTTGTTATTTAGTAAGTTTCTTGTGACGGTTAGCAGTTACCGTTATGCCGGCAGCGTTATGTGAAAGTATGTTGGTGTAAGCTGTATGAGTGAGGGCTCGTACGAACTCAACATTTAATGCATATATTTTTTCATAATATATAAAGTAACATTTTCCAACAATGATGATATAGATGACTTCATTTTTTCTAACGCTAAAAAACCAACTCATAATTCTCATTCAAAAAAGTCCTGTTTCCTAACGAACAAGTAATCTTTACGCAATAATATTATGCAACATATTAGTCTTGACTAAATGAGTCTTGACTCACGCTCGGTCAATCACACTATACGGATTATAAAACTTTTGTACCAGCATACCACCGGGAGAGAAGAGCGATCACATCGGACGGGTAGACTGTAGTCGGCCAGATGCAGAGTAATATTGGTTATAGACGAAGCAGATGGAGGATCACCGTCGTTAATATATATATTCCGCTTCTTTTTAACTATAATGTATGCAAACATGTATACTAAATCCTCAGGAAATTAGACACGTTGTGTAATCATCCACCATGCACCTACACGCAGGCCCTTCTTCGCTGAGTCTTCCACAATTATCCTGCTCCTGTCCGAACCCACCTGTCAAGCAAGTTCACCGCACATCACACACACACACACACACACACAGCGACACACACGACACGAACACACACATCAGGCATACGACACACCACACGAACCATTCACACAGCACAAGCGACATCAATACCCGATGCGGCAGTACGACCGTTCACACGTCTTTGTTGATACTCACTTGTCGGCCGTGTTTGTCGCCTGTGGCTAGGTACGCCGCAATGAGGAATTGACAGTAGATGACATGAGTCACGGGCGCCGGGTGTTTGCGCGATATATATATCACGCGGACACCGTAGAATTAGCTTGTCACTCCACCTGTGTGTGTGTATCAGCTGCAACCACGATTGCATGTTGCAGTGACGCGGGGTGTCGTTACAGCATTCGACACCTTACTACCCCTGGTTCACTGGCTAACTAGTTATACTATTGCTCAGCCACTCAACTAAGCGCAATGGTGGATGATGATGATGATGATCCATGATGATGATACTGTAATAGATGATGATGATCGATAAATGATCGATTGATGCATGATGGATGAATGATGAATAATACATAATAATAATAATAGATCGAAGTATAATATAATAATCTCACCAGACGCCTGTAACTCGACCGCCGCATAGGGAGTAGAGCGCGAAGAGCGTCACTGTCCCCATACACGGTCCATGCGGGTGCAGCGACACAGTCATGGCCGTGCAGCCGTCATCGTCAACGTCATCGTCACCGTCATCGTCCGTTTACGCGAGCGCACTTGCTCGCCGTACGTAGACACGTTATACACCGTTGCATTTGTAGATGCGGTCGGCAGAGGCTCCACTTGAACTTTGTCAAGAAATATAACAGCGCGCCTGCTAGAATGGCAACGCATAGCCCTAGCTTTGTGAGCTAAAAGGCAAGAAGGCACTGCTTTTAAATCGATCATAGCAATACGAGTTTTTGAAACTGTGAGTTTTGACGAAACATTCGAGAAGCTCATTCGAATTAGCAATGAAATCTAAAGTGGATCTTGGAGTATCCGATCATCAGTGTGTGTTTCTTCACTCTTCTCTCTTGCGGGTTAAACAAGTTGAAATAAAAACGAGTTTCGATTCCGTTAGCAGTCACTGAAAAATTTCAGAAATGAGCCTTCCGCGCTCTGAGCATGTTTGTTTGTCTCAGCCGTTGGCTAGAGTGATGTCATCTCGCTGACAATTGAAAAGCTTGACATCTCTCATTGAAAAACGATAAAAACTTCGAGAAACACGCCGCAGGTTCAAAGCAGAGCCAGCACGACAGCAACGGGAGGCACTCGCCATCAGGACTGTTTAACCCCTGTAGGGCGAATGGCAGAAGCGCGAGTAGCCTCGTTCAGACACGAGAGACCTCGTTTTGTGAAATCCGCGGTGTTGCGAAATGACGTATCTGAGACAAATAGCCGGCCAGCCGCTTACACGCCTGATTCGGCGGCTCGCAGAAGTACGGTGTTTGCGACTCGCGAGCTCGCTTTACAAACAATCAGGAGGGCGAACCCTGCGTAAATAACCAAAATGGCAATAGTGCACCAACTTGCCGATAACTACGTTAGACTGGTCCGCGCACGACTAGTTCCACTCGCGTTACACTAGGAACTGTCGAGCGCGACCAAGTCTATAATCGCGGCTTAAGAAATCCGGTATATTAGCGTTCGACACGAGGATGCGCGGTCCAAGAAATCGGTAATTTCTCGACACGGCAAGTTATTCGAAGTCTGGGAAGGCTCGGTATTACATGAAATATCGGATCGTGTTTAGATTACGTATTTCTTGGGCCTCGTATTTTGCCTCGTGTGAACGGCTAAATACCGGATTATCTTGCTAACGTGGTGAACGGCGGTAGTGTTGGCGGAGTCTGGCAAGATGTATTTGTGTCTATCGCGCCTTCGGTATTCCCATCATTGCCATATCATGTATGAGTGGATTGACACAGAGACCACGTAAAGTATGGGTCATGCTGGTACATGTACATTGACTGATGTGCAGGCGTGCCCGTGACACTTTGCAGCCGCAGACGATGGTTGACAGCTGATGGAGAATCCAGTGATGAAAGATTTGTCGCTAACAGTTGATGCTATCAGAAAGCTTAAACAGTTAAGTTGAGGTAGGTTGTTAAGTCTATTAGTAGCAGGTGTAAAGTTGTGTGTAAGATAAGTCATGCAACCACGTCTCATCAGAAAGAGTTTTGACTGCCTAGTGATCTTAGTAGGCCGACTTTTTGACGCTTGGATAACGAACCATATTTAGCGAAATATAATAACCATTTGACCGCATTATCTCTCGACTTGTCCCCACAGGCACTTGGAGCGTTTTAATAAAATATCATGCTAAATAAATACGAAATATATTTATTACCAAAGTCTTAATGTTTCTATACTCTCTTTCGCCTATTGTTGCCGACAATTTCCTGCAAATGACGTCCAAATGATCATCTCTAACAAACGCTGGATGCCGCCATGGCTGCCGCTGCACACTGCCACATAAATATATATATATATAACTATATATTTATGTGTCCGTGTGCAGCGGCAGCCAGCGTTTGTTGGAGATGAGCATTTGGACTTCATTTGCAGGAAATTGTCGGCAATAATAGGCGAAAGAGAGTATAGTAACATTAATACTTTGGTAGTAAATAGATTTCGTATTTCTTTAGCATGATATTTTATTGAAACGCTTTGAGTGCCTGTGCTTGTTCCATCCCCCACTGATGCTTCGCTTCCTCTGATATCTACATACTTGTCCCATCCCCCACTGATGCTTCGCTTCCTGTGATATCTACATACTTGTCCCATACTGTACTGATGCTTCGCCTCCTCTGATATCTACATACTTGTCTCATCCTTCACTGATGCTTCGCCTCCTCTGATATCTTCATACTTGTTCCATCCTCCACTGATGCTTCGCCTCCTCTGATATCTACATACTTGTCCCATCCTCCAATGATGCTTCGCCTCCTCTGATATCTACATACTTGTCCCATCCTCCAATGATGCTTCGCTTCCTTTGATATCTACATACTTGTCCCATCCTCCAATGATGCTTCGCCTCCTCTGATATCTACATAGGACTCCTATAGCGTCCATGAGTTTTCTTTCTCTGCTTCCGGCACATACACGACTCCTAGCCTTTGCCTTGTCTTCTCTTAATATCTACCTACTTTTCCCATCTTTCCCTTGCTTGTCTTCGTA